TGTATTGACGATGACACCCCAAATGTTTTAAAATTAATAAAAATACTTTTCTTCGGAAATGCCTTGATAACGTATATATCATGTTTTACTGGGAATAATTTCCGCAACATTTTTATTAAAAGAGGTACTTTAATTTTTATAAAGCATAAACAAAATCAATCTTTTCTGGCCGTGAAAATGGGGATATCACAACACTCAAATAAGGATTAGGGTTTCGAGTTAGGGTTTTCTTTGGGCTGGGAGGGACGATGGGGGCTGGTTGAGACATAATAAGTCGTTTAAATAAGGTACAAACCCTAAATATTAGGGTTTCACCCAGACAGCTTCTACTCGTCGAGTCGGTCTCCCGACTCGTCGAGTAGATCATTAAACTTCCCGGTCAAAAAATCGAGTCTACTCGACGAGTTGGGCCTCCAACTCGCCGAGTCCCAAAGCAAAATTTGAACTTACTTGAATTTAAATACGTACCAGGAACCGGGTGTTATAGAAACGTATTCATTCTATGAGCATATAAATACTATATAAAACATGTGCTGCTAGTAATTTTGATATAATGCATACCACATGGTTAGATTATTTAGATTCTCTTTTAGATATTTCAACAAACACTTGTTAGACATTATCATCAAACAAACCAAAATTCATGTAAAAAACAAGTGTAAAAATTAATTGAAAACCTTAGTTGAAACACATGTAAAAAACAATTATATTTACATAAAGAAAACTAGAAATAAAACACTTATTGCTAGTAATTCTGACAGAATGCATACCACATGGTTATATTCTTTACATTTTCTTTCAGACATTTCAACAAACACATGTTAAACATTATCATCAAACAAACCAAAATTCATATAAAAAAACAAGTGTAAGAACTGATTGAAAACCTCGGTTGAAACACTTGTAAAAAACAATTAGATTTACATAAAAAAACTAGAAATTATAATAATGAGAGAACAAGGCTCGTCTTTTCCATAAATCCCAATACTACATCCCCAACTTCTGAAATGGCAGCTTAAGGATCGATTTGGGCATTTCATTGGATAAACTAATACTTCTTCGCAACCGTACGAAAACAGAAACGAGAATGAAGGAGGGATGAAGAAAAACTTCTCACGTTGATTTTGGGTTGAAGTAAATCATCCGAATCAGAGACATGAACATCATATGGGGTATTTTGGGTTTCAAAAACGCCAAACTTCCACCACGAATCTCTGTAATTCCAGACCTTCAATGGAGAGGAATAGGGTTTTGAGAAGAGATACATGATTATATTTTAGTCCACAATTGATAAAGGGATGCGGGTTTTGTAGTGTTTATTCCCTTATTTTAGGATATATTAATTGAATTGTTTATTTACCATAACTAAACATACTAAGATTACAATTACACCCTTATTTATTTATTTAATTATTTTATTATTTCCTGAATTCTTATTGATGCATACATGCACACAATAGCTATCAGGAACATTTGAAATATATATATATATATATATATATATATATATATATATATATATATATTAAAAAAAGTAATAATATAATAAGATCATTTAAAGGCTTTGAAAGCCTTGTACTACTTGAAAGAACAATATGATGTGATTTTTGGTTTATGCCATTGTGAGATTTACAAGAAGTAGAAAGAGCACCGATGGTGCTCTTAGGGGTGTTTGACTTGTCTTTTTGAAAGACAAAAATTCTTTTTGGAAAAGTTACAAAAAATCAGGTTTTTCTAACTTTTTCAAAAAGTCAGTTTTCCTTCTATCTAAAATCCAAAAATAGTTGGGTAAATAGCAAAAAAAAACACTAAGTTTACACCAAAATTCTAATTTGACACTGTGTTTTTATTTGTTTCAAATTTGACACTAGGTTTTCCAATTTGTTATAATTCAGACGAGTTGACCGATCAACCAGGTTACTTGCTGACGTGGTATGATGACGTGTCAGTTTTTGATGACGTAACATGCTGACGTGTTAAAATTGATTTTTTTTTCCGATTTTGACACTAAGTTTAGTTTCTCTTTCAATTTTGACACTATGTTATTTTGTTCCAAATTGAACATCATTTTTTCCAATTTTGTTCAATGTTGACAATTTTCTATTTGAAATCGTATAAATATTTTTTTTAATACATTTAAACCGTATAAATATTTTTTTTCAATCAAAAACCATAGTTTTGTATAAACACAAGTTTTTTTTTACATTCAAACCATAAGTTTATGTATAAATATGTATTAGTTATATAAAAACCGTATTTTATATTAAATACGCAACTTTAAAATAAGTTTGGAGGTTTAGAGATGTGTAACCGATCAAAACCCGGATGTCAAGTTTGCAATCCATGAAATTTTTAAACGAAAAATATATTTATACAATTTAAAATATAATAAAAAAATATATTTATACGGTTTTAAATGAAAAATTGTCAAAATTAAACAAAATTGGATAAATGATGTTCGATTTGGAACAAAAAAACGTAGTGTCAAAATTGAAAGAAAAAATTAAACTTAGTGTCAAAATCGAAAAAAAGTGAAAACTTAGTGTTTTTTGTGGAAAAAAATTCAATTTTGACACGTTGCATATCATGTCTGCATGCCACATCATCAAAACTGACACGTCATCATGCCACGTCAGCATGTAACCTGGTTGACCGGTCAAGTGGTCAGAATTATAACAAACTGAAAAACACAGTGTTAATTTGAGACAAAAAAAACACACAACGTCAAATTAAAATGTTTACTTAAAATAGTTTGTAAAATGTTTTTAAAAAAACATCTTTTATCCTTTTTAAAAAGGATTTTTCTAAAAAAGACAAGCCAAACTACCCTAGTTTTAAATTTTAGGGTAAATTACACCAATCGTCCCTCGAGTATGTGTCCAAAAGCACGTTTGGTCCCTATTTTCAAAAATTAACTCGGACCGTCCCTCATTTGGTTAAAAGTTGCATGCTTCGTCCCTCGCAGATATAAAATGACTATCTTGCCCTTTTCTTTTTCTTTTTCATTTATTCTTCATTTGTTTATAATTTATATACTATTTTTTTTGTTAAGTATAATTTTTAGAAAATGGAAATTCCACTTAAATTGGTTCCGAACCTTCTCACCATCAACGACCTCTTACAACCAGTCACTTCTGACACCAGCCACCTCCGGCCACCAGCTAACTCCGACAAACACCACCATTCATCTCCAAAAATAAAAAATAAACCTGGAATTAAACCCTAAAACAAAACCCAAATCCATACCCTAGATCTACAAATCAGTTAAATGAAGAAGAGAGATGAAAGGATATGAGAAACACTGTGGTCGGACACCAAGCGTTCAATCCCTTATCCTACCATTGCCATGAAACCTGAAACCTGGAACTCCGGTTGGTTTCTCCCCAAACTTGTTTGAAAAAAAAATCCCAAAATTTGTTTCAGTGAGAAGAGTTGATGTGATCTATTCGGACATTGTTCTTCTTCCACCAGGCATCGTCGTTCCCCTCCCTTTCCTTCCTCTTTGTCTCGAAACTCAAGGAGCTGACGATCTATTAGATGATGGTGTAGATATGAGACAATGGTGCCGATGGCTTACAGGTAGAGATCGACATTTTCAAGTGTTTCCGGCGAAGAGATGGTGACGATGGCTTACAGGTCTAGGGTTTCCGGCGAAGAGATGGCGAAGAGATGGTGACGATGGCTGACGATCTAGGGTTTCCGGCGAAGAGATGGTGACGATGGCTTACAGGTAGAGATCGACATTTTCAAGTGGCGATGACAATGTTGTAAGTGGCTTTAGACGTTGATGGATGTAGAGAGAAGTTTCATTGGAGGTTAGGGACGATGATTGGAATAGCCACCTGAGGGAGTGGTCGTCGGAGGGAGTAGCTGCCAGTGATGGTTTAAGGATGGTGGTTTTGGGTTTCTTAGAAGAGGTTAGAGACGAGAGGAAGAGAAATATCGATAGAGGAGACGATGAGGTGGGTGGGAAGGTAGGACAGGGGCCTTTTTTTCTTTTTTAAATTACTAATAATAATAATAACATTAAAGTTAATGGAAAACAAATGCACAAAGGGCATTATAGTCATTTCAGATCCAGCAAGGACTAAAACCGCAACACAATAATTTGTTAGGGACGAAGCGTGCAACTTTTAATGACACGAGGGACGGTCCGAGTTAATTTTTGAAAATAGGGACTAAACATGCTTTTGGGCACATGCACGAGGAACGATTGGTGTAATTTACCCTAAATTTTAAGTAAAAGAATATAATAAATTAAATATATCTTCCATTTTTGATTCCCTCCGCTAACATGTTTGATTATTTCTTTCTTTTTTGAATATCAAAAGTTGTAAATTGATTAGGGTTTTGGTTTTAACACCCGAGAACACACATGTAGTTATCTATTTTACCCAATTTTAACACATGTTTGATCCTATTTTACACGAGTCAGAGTTACAATCTCTCTGGATCTTCAGTTCTTACCAGAATACATTACGGAAACAAGCACACGCACACTTCGCTCGTTCTTGCTCTTCTCCGACACCATTTCAAACGAGCCAAAGAAAAACCCTAAAGTGTGAAATTGATGGTTCATCCTCAAATCAACAACTCTACCTTCCCCGTTAATTTTGACACAGGTTTGTCTTCATCTAATCCGTTGTCAATTTTGACAAAAGCTAAAATTAATTTGTTGGTGTTTAACATTCGTAATTTCATATTGTTTGCTATAAGCAAATTTTGTTCTCTTCAACTCAGCCGTGGCTGACCATTTGGAATGCAAATCCCTCAAGAAACTTGAAAAACGACAAGTTAATGAAAAAAAGGTTCCAATTTGCGATAGGCATTGAAAACCCTCATTACACCTTCACAAACAGTCCTTTGAGTTATGATTTATATGAAATTTGTTACTAAACAGAGATCGACATACATTCTGTGTAGGTCATGTTCGTCATTCTGATACTCAAACAGTGAAGAGATGCAGTGCAGGACACACACTTCCCGAATGAAATATTAAAATGTCGACTCAGGGATTTGACAAGAACTCAGGTCCTGGTACTGGTACTGGTACCCAAAAACAACCACCCTCCTTTGGTTTCCGACCTCCTTCCCAATCACCATATACATGGTATCGTCTTCTTAAGATTTCTGTCTGATTTACATTATGTGTATGAGTAATCTCTTTAAGTGTATCTTAGAAGTCACTAATAGCTCTAATCTCCTTAGGTTCAATGCTTCTTCTCAAAAACCCCAAGTTCATCAAGGCTCTGCACTACAACCTATTAATCCATCACGTAACCCTAGAGCTGAGTCTCCTGCCAAAAATCAAGTTCAAGATTTGAAAAGAACAAGATCACCACCTTTACTCCCTACCTATAAAGACATCCTGCAAACTCAAGAACTGTTGTAGCGAGGCAAGTTACTTTCTTTCTCTTCCTTTTCAAGATAACAGTTCCACTTACTATCATCATTCAGGTTATTGAACAATGAACAATATTCTTTTTGTGCTCTTTCTAGGCCTTCTGTATCTCCTCCAAGATCAACTGCAAGGCGCAATCCTTACACTGATCCAGAAAATCATATTTGGTCTCCACAATATACCGATCTTGATAAACCTGAAACACCTGCAATCAATCCAAGTGATATCCCTGTCCCAAAACGGAGCAGATTACCTTTTACAACATCAAATGATCCTGTTCTTGATGACAGTGAAAGGTAATTTATTGAGTTAAACATATATATATAAGGACTTTTCTATTTCTTACATAATCTACTACAGAGAATTGCAAGCTAAAGCGAAAAGATTGGCCCGATTTAGAGATGAACTTAGTCAACCTGAGTCAACCGATAAAAACCAAAACCAAAACCAAAAGAGGCAGCAGATTGATCAGTTGGGTATGGACAAAAGAAAGTTTATGATGGAAGGTTCAGATATGGGAGGGCATTTACGTAATAGCAATGCCAATATACAAACTGATTCTGAAGATCAAGATTCATCATCCACTGTTATAACTGGAGTTTGTCCAGATATGTGTCCAGGTATCTTTTTGTTCAAGGAAATACCATTTAAGGCCCTTGAGGCCTTGAATTTAATTTTTGTTTTTTTATTGTTATATAGAGCAAGAAAGAGCAGAGCGAGAGAGGAAAGGAGATCTTGATCAATATGAACGTTTGGATGGAGATAGAAATCAGACAACTGAATCTCTTGCAGTTAAGAAGGTAAGAGGATGTTTGGAATTCTATTTTATTTATATTTCTTGATTGTAATATGTATAATTAAAATTTTTATTTTTACTTATTTCAAGTACACTAGGACAGCTGAGAGGGAAGCTGCACTGATAAGACCAATGTCAATCCTGCAAAAGACAATGGATTATCTTTTAAACTTGTTGGATCAATCCTATGATGATCGATTTCTTGGTTTATACAACTTTTTATGGGACAGAATGAGGGCAATCAGGATGGATCTAAGGATGCAGCATATCTTCAATCTTGGTGCTATTACAATGCTAGAGCAGATGGTTTGTTCTTGCCTCATAATGTACTTTTTAAACAACCAATCTTTATACAATATTATGCTTTTTAGATTTAGATGGAGTTTTTTCAAATCATAACCCTATCTCTACTTTATGGCTCTGTTTATTAAGATGTGAATGCCCTTGTCATCCTCATAATTCTGTTTTGAATTGTTAAATTATTGGTGGTTTCAGATACGGCTTCATATAATAGCAATGCATGAATTATGCCAATATACGAAAGGAGAAGGATTTGCAGAGGGATTCGATGCACATCTCAACATTGAACAGATGAACAAAACATCTGTTGAGTTGTTTCAGTTGTATGATGATCATAGGAAGAAAGGAATAGAGGTGCCTACAGAAAGAGAATTTAGAGGTTATTATGCACTTCTCAAATTGGACAAACATCCTGGCTACAAGGTAAGTCATTTTTTTATATGAGTTAGATTTATCAAAATACAGTTTCTTTATAAGAAAAATTACAATGTTGAGTTTTACAGACAATGTCTTAATAAGATTTTTTTTTTGTTTTTTTTTTTTCAAACTACAATGCTGTAATAGAAAGAAATTAAAGTAAGAAACAAATAAATGAAAGTACACTAGGGTTTTACAGTTTTATTTTCTAAAAGTAGCTAAAAAATATATACCTTTAATTATTATGTTCAATTTTTTTTTTTTCTGCAAGCAAAATTTGTTATAAATAAATAATTAAACATGGAAATCTTTATAGGTTGAACCATCAGAATTATCACTTGATCTTGCCAAGATGACACCTGGCATACGACAAGCTGAAGAAGTTCTATTTGCTCGTAATGTAGCCAGGTTCTCTATCTACTCTCTTAAATCCAAACGTTTATACATTTTATAACAATTTAAAATCTCTCATTATCTTTTTTTTGTTTTATTCTTCCAGAGCCTGTAGAACTGGCAATTTTATAACCTTCTTTCGTCTGCTTAGGAAAGCAACCTATCTTCAAGCATGCTTAATGCATGCTCACTTTGGCAAGGTCTATTTTTCCTCTTTCTTATCTCTTATTCTTAATGCTTAATGCTTTAGCCTCTCTGATTTTGACTATTATGTGATGTTGATCTTATCAGTTAAGAACTCAAGCACTTGCTTCTCTACACAGTGGCCTTCAAAACAACCAAGGCATACCAGTAACCCTAATTGGAAAATGGCTCGGAATGGAGGTAATTTCTCTAGGTTGATTTATTGAAAAGAGATTTTATTTGTTTATGCTCTTTTGGTTATAGAATTCAGGAAGAAAACATGAAAGATCTTTTGGAATATCATGGATTCTCTATAAAAGAATTTGACGAGCCATATATGGTTAAAGAAGGACAATTTCTAAACACCGATAGTGAATACCCTTTAAAATGCTCAAAACTTGTTCATCTCAAGAGATCAACAACAATTATGGATGATGTTTTATCTTCTCCAATTCCAATCAAAACTCCCGAGCCTCCAAAACGGGCCCCACGAAAGGCTTCTATTCAAACACAAGTCAAATCACCGGTTTCCCCAAAGAAGACTCAGAGTTTTGCTGAGGTCATCCGTAACCGCGTGGCGGTTTATGGCGGCAGTCCGTCTGTCAATCAGCCGCCGGTTTTCACGATTCCGGTGGTTGAAAGACGGAATGACGTGGAAGTTGGAATCGGAACTCCTTCACCTCGGAATATGTTTAAAAATATCTTTAAAACTAATAAATTACCCGATGCATCTCAAGAAGATGTTAGGAAACCGAGTTTTGATAATCGGTTTCGGAATTCTCTGGAGAAGCATACCCCGGTAAATGTATTTGCAATGCCGCCACAAGTTCCGCCTATGGTGGACCCCGTTTTGGTTGAAGATTCAGTGGTGGAGGTGGACCCTGTTTTTGTTGAGGACATGGAACCAGAAGAATCTGAAAATGTGATTCAGGAAGTGGAAGAGGAAGTTGATACTTCTGTAGTTGAAGAAGTTGCTGAGGCCAAACTTAGACTGATATTGAGGAAATAAGGCGGTGAATGAGGCGGTGGGTCGGGGATCGGATGCTCCCTTCGGGATATAAACTTTATTCCCTATAGTATTCCACCAACCCGTGCTAGTAACCCCATCGGGAAACACCATGTGAGTGGTTGCCAAAAAGGCCCGAAAGAGGTTCATTGAAACCAAAGGTTGATCATAAATCCCTAGCCGGCAAGCAAGATCCACCACCGAGCATTGATGATACTCGCCCCCAAGACAAAAAGTGAAACTCGCCGGATGATATAAATCCACTCCACCGGTAAAAGATACCGTGGAGAAAAACTCTAAGCAAAGCTCCAAATATACCGTCTCTTGTATGCGGAAGACCCGGCTCCAACCATCACATATCATCGACTCGCTGTCATGTTGAAACTCCTTTAAAAGGTACGGAGCTAATTCTTCTTCATATCGCACATTTTGCAACCACTCCCAATCAATTATGTTCGGTACATAGACCTCCTTCTTTTTGATATCGGAAAGCTTCTTCTTCCACTTCCGCATTGTTAAAGCGGATTCGATTTGTGGGAAATTCAACCATGGAAATTCCCCTTGGATACCACTTGAAGATTGTCCTCTTCTAAACATGATTCCTGCAAAACATATAAACCAGGCCCAGAAAACACAGAATGTAAAAAAAACGAACTGTTTCTGCAAATCGACTGGACTCGTCGAATCCATGCCCGAGTCGCGCGACCTGTACGAGTCGGTCGACGGGTCTCACAAAATTGAACCATGTAACCTTTAAATTCTTGCAAGGGTTTTGTTCAGGGACTTCCTACTAAGTAATAAGGCCACAATAAACGTTCAAAACAACAATATTCATGACAAAATCGAAAACCTAGAATTTAGTCACTTTTTCAAAAACGGGTTTTTTCATGAAATTGCAAGTATAGATGACCTTATAATCACATTCTATCTAGAAATCAAGAAGAAAGTTGTTACCTTTTGAGTTTAAATCTTGAGAATTTGGAAGAAAGGTTGAAGAACACTTGAATGCTTGAGAGAGAGTTGTAGAGAGAGGCACCCGGCGAGTGTGGTGTGGAAACTGAATTTTTAGGGTTAAAACCCTATTAGATGTAAAAGTAATTTCGAAAATGTTTATTTTTTTCTGTAAATAAAATCGACTCGTCGAGTCAGGGTCAGACTCGGCGAGTCCAATCGCGCAGTCAAACTTTTTTTTTTTCTGAAATCATTATATACTCGTCGAGTCAGGGTTAGACTCGGCGAGTCTCTTGTAAAACATTACTCATTTTTAAAATTTTGCTATTTATTCAAAATCTTTTCACCCCCACTCTTAAGCTAGGCGCTCCCTTAAGCAGACAAGTCCGATGATTTGGAAGATTAAAATTGAAACACAAAACAAAAATAATAAAAACTAAAGAGTAAAAGAAAGCGAACTCTAACGACGGGTTGCCTCCCGCCAAGCGCTTCTTTTTGAGGAGTCATTAGCTAGACTCCTTCCCATTTACGTTTTGTCGTCTTCAAGCATCGGGAATGTACGCCTCACTTTTTGTGGTTTATACTTAGTGTTGTAGGCGTGAATCTTTTTCTTGTAAGCCCTTTTTAATTCGTCTCTTCTCTTTTTCGTTGTATCATCCTCAGCTGGTTGGGCCTCTCTTTTCCTCTTCTTCTTTTTCAACCCATGCTTTTTCACCAATTTTTGAACCTCCTTTTCTTTAAATTTGATAACTTCATATTTCATAGCGGTCCGTGCTCTAGGTTTAGTAGTGAATTGGTGATCAGCTTCCGCTCTACTTCCATTTATGTCCTCATCCTCTTTTGTGCTCGACTCTTCTCCAAATGGCATCGTATCAAGGCATGCCACATCGGCGTGTTGGACCTCCATTCCTTTTACTTCTTCTTGCTTGACCTCTGGATTAGCTTTAAACATCACCGACTCATCACCCACTCTTAATGTCAAAGTAGACTCACATATGTCAATTAGGGCACCTGCGGTGTTTAAGAATGTTCTTCCCAAAACAATTGGTATTTCGGGGTCTTCTTTCATCTCCACCACCACGAAGTCTACTGGGAAAATAAACTTGTCCACCTTGATAAGGAGATTTTCACATATGCCTTGTGGGTGAATTATTGTTTTATTTGCCAAATGGATTCTCATATTTACCGGCTTTGGTGCTGGTAAATTCAGCTTCTTAAAGAATGAATAGGGCATCAAATTAATGCTTGCCCCTGAATCAGCCAATGCTTGTGTAGAAACTTCATTACCAAATTGGCACGGAATTACTATGTTACCCGGATCACCCTTCTTCTCAGGCAGCTCACTCATCAATATCTCCGCGACTTCAGCCAGATCTTTCCTAGCAGCAAACAGGCCTTTAAGCAAGTTAACGTATTTAGGAGTTTGGAGCATTGTGTCCACAAATGGCATATTGACTTGTAAAGCTTTAACATGCTCCATGAAGGTTCTATAGGCTTGAACTTTTTCTGACGGCATGGCTCTGGATGGGTATGGCAAAGGAGGATTGTATGGCTTCAGAAAACTGGCATTTTCTTCATTCCCGACTGGACTCGTCGAGTCCGTTTTGGTGACTCGGCGAGTCGGATCGAGTTTTTCTTGTTCTGATTTTTCTTCCTTTTCTGCCTTCTCCTTGGAAACTCTTAGTGTTTCTGCCAATTCTTCTTCACCGCTGGAGGTTATTACGCTCACGTTCTCGTTTCTTGGATTGGGTTGGGTGTCGCTCGGAAGTTGGCCCGGTCTTCTTTCGTTTACTTGATGTGCAAGTTGGCCCAGCTGTTTCTCTATGTTGAGAATAGAAGCTTGCTGATTCCTCAACATGTTTCTGGTTTCTTGCATTGCCACATCATGATCATTATGTCTTTTCTCGGACGCGGTTATGAATTTTGTAAGTATTTCTTCTAAATTCGTCTTCTTGTCCGTCACCGGTTCTTCCTTTTGATAATATCCCCTCTCTCTCTGTTTATATTTCTCTTCCTTAGCTTTTCTGTACTCTTCGTATGGGAGCCATTCCTTCTTCGGTTTCCTCCAGTCTTCATCGTATCTATCGCCGCTGGAGTAGAATACTTGAGCCTTTTTATTTCCATTCTCGTCTCGATCACATTCCTTGGTAAGATGGGGACCGCCACAATTTTCACATCCAACTCTAATAGCATGGATCGTTTGATCCATTTTTGTCATTTTCGGTCTAGGCTATCGAGTTTAGCTATCACCGCCGCCATACCATCGTTTACCGAATTTACTGCTCCGCGACTCACTTCATTCCTCGGGTTGTGATATTCTCTAGAGTGCCTGGAGAATTCTTCAATTAACTCCTTTATTTCCGGAGGTGGCTTTCGGGTGAGTGGGCCTTGTGAATCGAGTAGTTGCCTCGTGGTGACATTTACTCCATCATAAAAGATAGAGACCTCTTGTTGGCTATTGAGATCGTGGTGGGGCAATTTCGAAGTAGGCTCTTGTATCTTTCCCAAGCTTCATAAAGGGATTCACCGGGTTGTTGCTCGAAGTTGGCAATGGCTTTCTTTAGCTTGGCTATCTTGGAAGGTGGGCAGAAGTGATCTATGAACTCTTCTTTCATTTTGGCCCATGTGGTAACTGATCCGGGAGGGAGTGACTTCAACCAATCCTTTGCAGCTCCTTTAAATGTGACAGGAAGCATGCGTAGTAGCTGGATCTCGCGGGGCACATTAGGTACATTGAAGTAATCCGCCACATCATTCACTTCATCTAAGTGTTTATAGGCGTCTTCATGATCTCTCCCGTGAAAGGGTATCTCCTTGAGTTGAGCGAGAATATGGCCCTTTAGTTCAAACGTAGCGGTAGCGGGGATTGCGGGTTGCACAAGTCCCGGGCCGGTGTCATCACGCATCCTTTTCTTCCACTCCCCCATGGGGATTTCGTCAATATTAGCCATAGCGGTGGCTAAGTCTTCTTCAAACTCGGATGTGTGCTCGCTTTCTTCTTCGGTCTCGTAATCGGTGTCTTTTGGGATTAGATCTTCGGTCGTCAACGACGCACTGGATGTTCCTGCTTTGCTGCTCCTTTTCTTGCTAAAAACGGATTTGAGGTTTTTGAGTGGTGAGTTCTTTGAAGAAGCGGTTTCTCCAACGGTTTTGCCCTTGTTTCTTCTTAATGTGGTTTCCGGATCTTCAAGAGGGAGAACTAGAGGCGTAGCAGATCCTCGGGTCATGAACCAACTGCAGACTAAAACAAAACAAAACGCGTAAAAAAGAACAAAAATTAAATCTGATTCAGCGTCAGACTCGCCGAGTCGGGGCGAATGCACTCGGCGAGTTCAAGTTAAAATCAGCGATTACATCTAATAGGGTTTTAACCCTAAAAATTCAGTTTCCACACCACACTCGCCGGGTGCCTCTCTCTACAACTCTCTCTCAAGCATTCAAGTGTTCTTCAACCTTTCTTCCAAATTCTCAAGATTTAAACTCAAAAGGTAACAACTTTCTTCTTGATTTCTAGATAGAATGTGATTATAAGGTCATATATACTTGTAATTTCATGAAAAAACCCGTTTTTGAAAAAGTGACTAAATTCTAGGTTTTCGATTTTGTCATGAATATTGTTGTTTTGAACGTTTATTGTGGCCTTATTACTTAGTAGGAAGTCCCTGAACAAAACCCTTGCAAGAATTTAAAGGTTACATGGTTCAATTTTGTGAGACCCGTCGACCGACTCGTACAGGTCGCGCGACTCGGGCATGGACTCGACGATTCCAGTCGATTTGCAGAAACAGTTCGTTTTTTTTACATTCTGGTTTTCTGGGCCTGGTTTATATGTTTTGCAGGAATTATGTTTAGAAGAGGACAATCTTCAAGTGGTATCCAAGGGGAATTTCCATGGTTGAATTTCCCACAAATCGAATCCGCTTCAACAATGCGGAAGTGGAAGAAGAAGCTTTCCGATATCAAAAAGAAGGAGGTCTATGTACCGAACAGAATTGATTGGGAGTGGTTTGCAAAATGTGCGATATGAAGAAGAATTAGCTCCGTACCTTTTA